GGCACTGGAGGGCCCTACAGCAGCACTCAGCACCCACAGACGCACAGAAGTACGTGGCTCACAGGCTACTGAGTACCCCTCCTGCTCACCACTGGACCGACACTGCAGTGCCCAGGCCAGGGGTGGGGGAATCAATCTTCCTGACACACTGGTCAAGGGCCCCAACCTAAAGTAGACTGGCCAAACTCAGGAGATTGTAACCTCCCAGCCAGGGCTCATACCTTCCCTGCGTAGGGGGTGGGTGAGAGGCTTGCTCCGGTCCAGGCGTTCTTCAAACACAGCATGACATGGCCAGGCCAGGGCAGGGAAAAACTGTGGGATGAGTGGATCGGTATATAGGCCCCCACCAGGGGCAAGGGGCAGCGTGGGTCTCAGGTGGGGTTGGAAGAGGGAAGCAGGAAAGCGAGGTCCAGAAGCCATCCCACAGGGCAGGAAGCTGAACTGTGCATGCCACACCTTGGTACATGCACCTTTGTTCCAACAGTCTCCACTTACAAAACACATTCAAAGATTACACTATTAAGAATTTCAAGATGGCAACTGCAGAGCATTAACCCCCGCAGGTGAGGTCTTGTGTGAAGGTACTGGTCTCAGGCCCACAAAACCAGGCCTACCTGCCACCCAGAGGGCATCAACCAACTAAAAGAACTAAAACACGTATCATTTAGGTTAAAAGACTTTTGCCCGTTCTTTCCCTAATCCTCCCCATCCATTCTTTGCCCCTGAACCTGGTGGAATGGAGGAGGGTAGGAGAGAGGCAGGTACTAGAGCAGAGTTTACCTTCTTCCTAGGACAATTTCCACAGTTCAGGGTTTAAGCCTAAGGTGGAAAAAGTGAAAACACACTTAAATCAACTTTATACCTGAAAATGAATCTCCATCATCAAAGTGAGTGTTTTATATGTATTTATGTGTCTATATGTGATTGCTGATTGGCTAATTGACCAATAACTCAAAGTATCCAAAAAGCTGTGAGATCTACCTGAGATGCCAGGAAGGGGTAGAGAAGTAATAGCCAATAAAGCATATTAAACAGTCATTGATTAAAAGTAAAGTCGTTTTCTATCTGTACCCCCAACGAGTTCAGATTATTTCTTATAAAATATGATTCATCTATATAATAAATGGTTAATCCACATGAATCAAGTAGAAATTCACTGCATAAAAGGGGTAAGAGATAATGTCATGAGAGAATCAAATGATCCTAATAACTTGAATAATTTGATTATTTCGGTCAGGATGGCATATTACACTGATTACTTGGTGACCAACATGCAATTAATTACTTTGATTGCCCAAAGACACACCATCTTTTGTACAAATGAGCAATAATCATCTGATTGCATTAAGCTAGACCAGGATATTATCCAAAATAATCACATATAATTAATTCTACCTTCAAATCCAAATCTTCCCTTAAGATACACACTATGGAGCTCTGAGTTCATTTTATGAATCAACCACATTTTTAGCTCCTACCGTTCTCTTTCTTTTGCCTTATTTTTCTCTCCTGCTTCAAGTTCACATTATCTTTATAAGTCACATTAAATTATTAGAACTCACTTTCACAAAACCATCTCTTCACTGTGTACCTGAACTGCATATTCATTTAAAAGCTCTTTAGCAGGTCCTGAGGCTTCCTTCACAATGATTTGGCATTCAATTTAAATATAACTTCACCCAAGATACAACCTAATTAACAAAACCTATTTTAAGTTATTCTGGGGTGGTGTGATTGCTCTAAAAATTTATTTGATGTGATGTGTGGGTTTGTGTTTGTAACACTCCTTTAAAGTGTAAAACACTTGAAACACCTGCATTAATGTTCTCTGAAGAAGAGAAGAAATGAATGTGTGCTAGCACTTTCTTTCTTAGGGGGCCTGGTTCGGTAGCTAGTCTTCTTGGAAATATTGAAACCTATCTGTCACTTTTAAAGGACTCAGGCTTGCATATCAAACTTCAGAAAGTGTTATTGCTTCCCAATAGGTTTAAGAAGACTTGCTAATGATATTATAACTTCATCTCCTTTTGATTGCCCAAGGCAAGGAGTGAGAAACCAGCAGCACAATTTTGTAGAAAGCCTTTGAAGCACTGTTGTAGAAAATAAGTTTCTATAATGAACTGTATCGATCCTGGGATCAAAAGTAATAACTCATCCATCAAGTGAACTAATTGATAATAAAATGTAGTTCAATGTTTCCTACATCACATTAAGTATCAATATATTGAAAAGAAAACTATGGTAATTTTTCTCAGTGACTGAAATCTCTTTTCTGCACTTGGCCCCAATTATCGATCAAAAAACATTATGATTCAGCAGCAGATTAGAACTGGAAAAACAAGTGACAGTGTTGAACTTTATCTGAAGCCCCTGTGCTCCTGGAAAGTAGCTAGAGTCCAAAAATCTGCCCCTGCCCCCATTTTGTCTTCTGAGAAATGCCCAACTTGCTGTCCTCTATCCTGAGATAGGAGCTGCCCCGCCCACCTCTGCCTCCACCTCTGAAGAAGACTCCCTTGCTTTTCTGTCTTTTTGGATTTCTGGGCCCCCTTCCTTTACTTTGAGATGTTGCTCATTAATGAATATCCTCCCCCTTGCAATAAGCTGACAAAATCGTCTCAGTTAGCCAGTGCATTTTGTCTTTCAGTTTCTTCACAAGAGAAAACAAAATGTTCAAGTTCTCTGTTAAGTTCAGGGAGGTCAAACTCAATTGGAAAGTGATATGATTTTAAAATGACCAGGACGTTCCAGTTTAACTGTTTCAAAGCAATGTTTACAAGGAAAGCAGAGGTGGCTCATTCCACAAATGAGGTAGACGGGATGTAACCCTGATGGTGTCACCAAAGGACCTGTCGGGAAATAGCGCCAGGCCCTGTCACAGATTTGTGGTAAAAATAGCCAATTCCTTACCACCCTTTTCTCTTATTTCCTTGAGGCTGTTGTTAATCTGATTGGCATTTTGACCTTAATAATGACTATAGAATTAGGTATAATTCCTTTCCTCATTCATCTCCATGTTAAAAAATTGTGTGTGTGGATGGGAGTGATTCGAACAGGCTTATGAGCAGCACAATACAAAATGATAGACCTTATTCATGAAAACTAATCCACCTGCAAGGATTAAGACAATGTAACCATAAATTATGATTGTGTAGCAACTCATAGGCAAATATTTGCAATCTCAATTACTCTCCTACTTACAAAAAGGTCTTGTGATGGCAATCGCAGTCATAGAAGAAAGCAGAATTTCAATATATAGAACTGCCTTAACATAGGTATTTTATACTATGTCTAAACTTCTTTTATAAAGGGAACACCAGTGGATATATATCCATTTAAACAGACAGGTAAGTGAGTCTGACATGGCAGATTCTAGTGGCAAAAAGGAATTCTTATAAAGGAAATAAATGCTGAAATTTGGATATGGCTAAAAATTGTATTTGTTTCTAAAATAATTTTACTTCAAAATATTCTTTTTAAAAAGATTTTACTTATTTATTTCAG